GCCCGCAGGTTCGAGACCCGCCTGGACAGCAAGACCTCATCTCTACAATAAATCAAAAAAGTTAGCCGGGCGTAGTAGCGCACACCTGTAATTCTGGCTACTTGGAAGGCTGAGGCAGAAGGATCGCCGGAGTATAGCAGGTCGAGGCTGCGGTGGCCGGGAGCCGCCACTGCACTCCAGTCTGGGTGACAGAGTGAGACTCCAACTCAAAAAAAAAAAAAAAAAAAAAAGAAACCATCAAGAGAGCAGGGAGACAGCCAACAGAATTGGAAAAAATATTTTCCAACTGTATATCTGACAAAGGCCTAACATCTAGGATCTATATGGAACTCAAACATGCTGAAAGGAAAAAAACAAACAGCCCCATTAAAAAGTGGGCAAAAGACATGAATAGATACTTCTCAAAAGAAAATACACGGGCAGCCAACAGAAATATGGAAAAGCGCTCAGCCTCACTCATCATCAGAGAAATGCAAATCAAAACCACACTGAGATACCAGCTAACCCCAGTAAGAATGGCCATCATTAATAAAACAAACAACAACAGATGCTGGCGAGGATGCAGGGAAAAAGGAACACTTCTACACTGCTGGTGGGAATGCAAACTCTCTTTGGAAGACAATGTGAGCATTTCTCAAAGAACTAGAAATCGACCTTCCATATGACCCAACAATTCCCCTATTGGGAATATACCCGGAGGAACTCAAATCATTCTACAAAAAAGATCCCGCACATGTATGTTTGTTGCAGCTCTAGTCACAACAGCAAAAACATGGAACCAACCATGTTGCCCATCGAAGCTGGAGTGGATTTTAAAAATGTGGTACATATACACAATGAAATATTATGAAGTCATAAAGAAGGACAAACACATGAACTTCGCAGCAACTTGGATGGATTTAGAGTCAATCATACTCAGTGATCTATCACAGAAACAAAGAACAGAGGACCATATGTTCTCACTCATGAGTGGACCTTGAACAATTATAATACTATAAGAAAGGGATTGGCAGTAGTGGGAAACTGTCAGGGGAGGAGGGGTGGGATTGGTAGTTGAAGGAAATTGCTAGGGGAGGGAGGGGTATACCTCATCAACAAGGGTACCTGCATAAGCCACGTTTGTATACTTAACCCTGAATTGTACCCCACATGTTTATAAAAACAAAACAAAACAAAACAAAACTCTGGACTTTGAAAGACACCAAGTTCATTAGGATATCACAACAAAAAGGATTTTAAAAAAGCCAAAGGAAGTGTTCAATTAATTTTTATTAAAAAAACTAAAGCAAATACAAAGTATTAAAATTGTGATGGCATCATGACTATTATATTATCTTTTAATTTTTAGTACTCCACAATAGTTATAAAAGTTTCTTTTAAATTCAATCATTTGAATATTCCAGGTAAAATTCATTTGTTAAAAATGATTTCAACTTATCATAATGCCAAAGTAATCCACTGTCTCAAAATTTATAAGAATCAGTTTTACTAAAAACAAATGGAATAAAATCCACTCTGAAGATTTCAAGTTAAACAGGCAATGTTGAACATTCTACAGTATTCTATTTAAGGAACTTTAAAAAATGGAGATTTTAAACTCTCATGAGCTTAATACTCAGTTTTACTTCACAGATACCTATTTACTCTAAGAATCTACCAACATGGCAGCTCAGTAGTCTATTTATAGCTTCACTTAATTTTGGGGGGGTATGGGATTGAGGGTGGAGAATAATAACAGAAAAATATGCTTCAGTGTTTGCAGTGGTTGAAATGATTAACTCCTTCAGACCTTGTTAACTCCTAAGGATCATCACAAACAAACACAGTGTGAAAGAGACTATGAAAACGCAGAGTCCCCACCAAAATGCACAGACTTTGTGTGGCTGGCCTGGTTTTCTTTACTGATCACGTGAATAAAGGCAGCTACAGTTATGATGTCTAGCTCAGCACGTGAACCCCTCACATAGTTGGTCCATTCTTTCACACATTTTTTTCTAAAGTGCAGTTTCCACAGAAGATGTAAATCTACACTAAGTTGCACAAACATGGAAAGTAAGAATTAACACCACGATGGGAAAATCCGTAACTATAGGAAGAGGACATGCATGAAGTAGTTGATCTTCAGTAACTTTTACTCACCCTATAGAGCACCAAGTGTCAGAATCATTGATCTCTACTAGAGAATTTTCCAACAGTCAGTTTGATATGGCAGTTATTGTCGGATCATCTGCAATGTGCCCAAGCTGTGTTTGGAAGACTGGGAGAAGTTTAAAAGAGGCAAAGACCTCTTACAAACATCCTGAAAATGGCAAGTAATTCTTCAGGAAGGGATGATAGATTCCTGAAGGGTGATCCAGAAGCTGTTAGGCCCCCCAAGACCACTTGAGCTTTTTAAAATTAGAAAGAGGGATGTTTTTCTTCAAAAACAGTAAATCAGGGTATTCACTACTTTAGTGAGCAAGAGTTTTAAAATACATCTATTTTTAACATGAACTTTTTCTATTTCATGTCTGTAATCTCAGTTCTCTTTCTCATCTATTCTGCAGGATCTAAAAATTTAAATTCCTTCCATGAAGATTTAAGTATCAATGTTTCAAAATATCACCACTTTATTTATTATTACAATCAAATTATTATCTTTATATTCAACTTTTTTGCTTAAGAATTTTTTTAACCATTTCAATAAAAAATATGAATGGTCACTATTTCTGCTGTATATTCTTTCAATATGATTCTAAGTTATCTAATCATGGCACTAATTAAATACCTGTACACCAATGCTCAGCATAATGCCGAAGTCTGATAGGGTAAGAGATTTTCATGCTGTTCTTTGCTATTTATTCTGAACAGATCTATCTTGTCAATGCATTTATTTGTGAATTAAATACATATTTATAGAGTGCCTATTATGTGCTAAATATCTTTTGTGAGTTCTGGGAATATAATGATGAGCCAAACCAGACATGGTCCCCAGTCCCCGCCCATGTGGAGTTTATTGTCTGGTAGGGGAGATTTCCACCAGGCACAAAACATGGATGAGTTCAGGAGGCAAAAATGTGTTGTCAAAGATGGCCTTTAACACAAAGAGAGTTTAAAGTTTTACTCTGTACTCAGTACCGTTGAGCATCCCACATTCCCAAATCCAAGATTTGAAAGGCTTCAAAAATCTAAAATAATTTGAGAGTCAACATGATGCTCAAAGGAAATGCTCTTGAAACATTTCAGATTTTGGATTCTCAGATTTGGGAATCCAACAGATAGAACGTAATGCAAAAATATTCCAAACACCCCAAAAATCCAAACTCTAAAACACTGCTGGCCCCAAACATTTTGGATATGAGATAATACACATATTTAAATTTAGATAGTCAATATTTACATTCATTATTTAAAAGAAAAAGACACATGAACCACCTTTTCTATCTTATTTCTCTGTTTTTTATGAATAATGACAAACATTTTAAAAATACTGAGATTTCTAGTGTAACGTAGGCCTTTCACATTTGTTCTCCTGCATTTTAAATAGGTATACTGCAGAAGGATAGAGATTGTCGGAATGACAAACCTTTATTTGCCTCTCACTAAAGGCAAATTTTTTATGGAGTCTCTAAGGGTACAAACAAAAGTTTGTGTCACGGCCAGGCTCGGTGGCTCAGCCTGTAATCCTGCGCTTTGGGAGGCCAAGGTGAGTGGATTGCCTGAGCCCGTGGGTTCGAGACCCGCCTGAGCAACTTGGCGAGACCTCATCTCTACAATAAATTTTTTAAAAAAATCAGCCGGGCATGGTAGCGCGTGCCTGTAATTCCGGCTACTTGGAAGGCTGAGGCGGAAGAATCGCCGGAGCCCAGCAGGTCGAGGCTGGGGTGGCCGGGAGCGGCCACTGCACTCCAGTCTGGGCGACAGAGTGAGACTCCAACTCAAAAAATAAAAATAAAAGTTTGTGTCACAATTGCTCTCTTTCAGACTGGGAGGTTCTACTCATAATATCTGGGAGAACAACAGGATTGAGAAAATGAACAGGGTCTCACAAACGACAGGATATTAGTTCAAAGCAATGCCAAAGACAGGGAGGAGGAGGCCAGAGAACACTTACTGGTAAGTGGTTGGGCTGACATTGATGCGCCGAGGGTGACTTCCCGACTCGAATTTGCTTGCTAGGGTGACATTATTTCCAAACAGGCAGTAACGTGGCATCCTCACTCCAACAACTCCAGCCAGCACAGAGCCTGAGTGAATGCCTATCCTCATCTAAAAAAGAATGAAAAAAAGAAGGACATATTTGTTTCATTTGGTAAGCTGTTATTTTCATGAAATGTGCAGTTAATTATTAAACGATGAAACATTCCACCCACCCATTGCACTTCTGGGATCATGCCTAGAGGAACAGAAAGTGCCCCACCAAAGAGACACCTGTACATTTCTGTTTATTGCAGCACTGTTTGCAATCACAAAAATATGAAACCAACCAGTTGGGTGCTGAAAGTGTGGTACATAGACATGAAGGAATACTATGCAGCCATAAAGAAGACAAAATCATGTCTTTTGCAGCAACATGGTGGCAGTTGGAGACCATCATTTGAAGTGAGATATCACAAAAATAAAAAATGGAATCCCACATGTTCTCACTCATAGGTGAGCACTAAAAATTGGGCAAGTGGGCACACATGTGGGAACAACCAGTGCTGGACAGTGATAGAAAGGAAGGAAAAGAGGGATGATAAGGTGCACCCGATCATCCATTGGGTACCATGTTTACTACCAGGACCGAAAGGGCTCCCTTGATGCCCAAACTGTGCCTCCACACAATTTACAAATTCTCTCAAGTTCCCCCACAACTCCAAATGAAATTAAAAAAATAAAAATAAAAATAAACTATAAGCTCCCCAAAGAAAGGAACTGAGTCTTGGTTATTTTTGTGAGTCTAATAGCTGCACCATTATTGTACTCAATGAACATAATTGTTGTGGAATAAATGAATGAATGGAGTAATTATATTAAAAAACTATGTTTAATTTGCCACACAAATCTGGTTATGGCACAGGTTAAACCAAGTTTCATTTGTCCATAATATGGTCTAACTTGAAAAGTGTAATTTTCTCTATTTTCTCCTTCCAGTTATTCTTACACAAAACCTTAATTTTTTCCTCTCATAGCACTAAACGGACTTGTAAATTACATATTTGTATTTCTCTTTAAATGTTAGATTTTTCTCATGAGAGTAGGGTTTTATACACACACACAAACACACACACACATGCACAAACATATATACATATATATACATTTACTTTCTGCTGAATATTCAACATTTAGTATAGTACCTAGAGCAAAACAGGCACTTAAAAGTAAGCGATAAATGCTGAATAAATTGCCTGAATTCCCCAACATATTATTAAAATGGAGTTATAGAGAATTCAACCCTTGAGTCAGTCAATAGGCATTGATTAAAAATGCTGCAGAGTAAATTAAGTGCTGCGTATTTATTCTCTGAGGTTCTGCCCAAGATGAATCTGCTCCATGCCTTGAAGGAGTCAATTGACACACACCTAAATGTGGTCACGGTAATGAAGTCACATCAACATGGTCTACACCACAAACACTGAAGCCAATGGAGGCCAAGAGGGAAACAATACCCCTAGTTCTAGGGGAATACAGGTGTCCCTGAAGCAGAGGGAGGAGATCTGACTCCCAGATGCTCACCAGGTAAGCAAACTATCACCCTTTCACCACCAGCCACTCCTTGTCCCTATAGTTGTGAGGATAAAAAGTCACTCTGAGACCAACCCTTGTTATAGGACTAGAGACTTATATCAGCTCATAAAATGACAGGTTAAAACTAATGAGACCTAGCTGCAGCTCCTAATAACCTTTTCATCTCCTTTTAAACACCTGACCCTAAAATTCATTTGGAAATTAAATATGGTAGGAAGAGTCGAAATACATTTGAGAAAGAAGAAAAGTTGGAGTATTTGCTCTGCCAGATATAAAATCTTAGTATAAGCATATCATATCTAATTAGTGCACAGATATTATCATAGAAAGAAACTAACGGAACAAATAGCCCAGAAAGGCTGCCATGCATATATAAGTGCTAGATACATGAGAGTTGGCACTTCAGATGAGTGAGAAAAAGATGGTCCTTCTGTTAGAATGTTCTGGATTCATTCTATTTTCATGTGGAAAAAAATACCAAGTAAATTAAAGATCTTAATGCAAAAGGCACAACTTTGCAGTATTAAAAATTGACTAATTAAGAACAATCTGCAGTGTCAGTAAAGCCCAAGCCCCCAAATACAGATATTTTGAGAGCATAGACTTTTGTCTCTCAAGAAGAGGTCTAGGTGAGTGGCCTGGACTGTCGGGCTGCTGTTTCCTTCAGTTATTCAGGGATCAGGTCCTTTACCATATCGTGTCACATATTCAGAGCACCTTCATGTTCTAAATCATGGGATGTGGGAAGACAGTATATTTATTATTTGAGGTGATCCTTTTTTTTGTATAAATCCTTCCTTCCTTCCTTCCTTCCTTCCTTCCTTCCTTCCTTCCTTCCTTCCTTCCTTCCTTCCTTCCTTCCTTCCCTCCCTCCCTCCCTCCTTCCTTCCTTCCTTTCCACTCAGAGTCTCACTGTTGCCCAAACTGGAGTGCAGTAGCATGCTCATGGTCACTGCAGCCTCGACCTGCTGGACTCAGGCAATCCTTCTGCCTCAGCTTTCCAAGTATCTGAAACTACAGGAGCATGCCACCATGCCCAGCCAATTTTTTGATTTATTGTAGAGACAAGGTCTCACCAAGTTGCCCAGGTTGGTCTTGAACCCCTAGGCTCAGGCAATCCTCTTGCCTTGGCCTCCCAAAGTGCTGGGATTACAGACTTCAGCCACCGCACCTGGTCTGATCTATATTTCTATCTGGTATGCTTGCACTGCTGCCTGAAGGACTTCTTTAACATTTCTTACATGACAGCCCTCCTGGGAATGAATTCCTTCAGCTTTTGTGTGTTTAAAATGTCTTAGTTTGCCTTCATACTTGAGAAATATTTTCACTGGGTATAAAATTCTAGATTAACAGAATTTTCTCAGTACTTTAAAGATGTTGCCCCACTGGCTCCTCTCTTGCATTGTTTTGGATGAGAAATCTTCTGTTGCATGTATCTTAATTCTTCCAAATATAACATATCTTTTTCTTCTGGCTGCTTTGAAGTTTTTCTTTTATCGCTAGTTTTAAGTAATTTAGTTAATATTTCCTTTGGTGTTATTTTCTTTATGCTTCTTGTGCTTTGGGTTTGTTGAGCTCTTGGATCCATGGGTAGACAGTTTTCATCAAATTTGGAAAATTTCCAGCCATTATGTCTTCAAATGTCTACCTGTCTCACTCAGAGACTCAAATTACATATATGTTAGGTGCTTTAATTATTTCCAAAGTTCACTGATGATCTATTCATTTAAAATATTTTTCTTTCTGTTTATTTAGAATAATTTCTAATGCTATGCCTTCAAATTTACTCATCTTTTGTTTTGCAATGTCTAACATGCTGTTAATCATAACTAGTGTATATTTCATAGCAGACATTGGAATTTTCCTCTCTAGAAGTTCAGTTGGGATTAAAAAAAATCTTCCAGGTATCAAGCTAACTCTTGAACATATGGACTATGGTTAAAATAACTGCTTTAAAGCTTCTGCCTGCTAATTCTAACATCTGTTTCAGTTCTGTATCTATGAGTTTGAGCTGATTGATTTTTCTTTTCATTATGAGTCATATTATTCAGCTTTTCTTCCTGCCTAGTAATCTTTGATTGGATGCCTTATATCATGAATTTGATTTGTTGAGTATTGGGCATTTTTATAATCTCATAAATATTCTTGAGCTTTGTTCTTGGGTGCATCTAATTGACTTAGAAACAGCTTGTTCCTTTCAAGTCTTGTTTTTTAAGATTTGTTAGTCAAGTCTGGCAGTGTTTCATAAAGGGCTAATTATCTATTACTAAGGTAAGAACCATGAGTACCCTTCCCAATGTCCTAAATGTATGAGGTTTTCCAATCTGCCTGATGAAAATGGGCATTTTTACCTAAGTCCTGTATAAGTGCCAGTTACTTTTTCCTATAATCATTTTGAGTACCTTTCTCCTGTCTCTGGAACTCAGGTAGTTTCCTCATATACATGCACTAATCAGTACTCTGCAGAATACACAGAGAAACCTTGGATGATTGGGGGGGGTTTATGCAGCTCTCTCTTCTCTGGCACTCTATCTATGAATTCTAGCCTCCTTGGTCTCGCCCGGCTGTCAATTCCATCTCTTCAACTCAAGAGATGGGTGCTTAACCCTCCTTGAGCCATAGCCTGAATGGCTTTCAAGGCAGTTCACTTGGACAACCATAGTGCTCATTTAATTTGCTTTCTAACCCCCAAAGATCACCATTTTCTATTACCTAGTGTCCCATGTCACGAAAACCTTTCTTTTGTATATTTGTCCAGCTATTTTTTACTTCTTAAAATAGGAGTATAAATCCAGTCCCTGTACTCCATATTGGCTGGAAGCAGAAGTGAAATCTACTTTTTGTTTTTAAAGTAAATTATCTGAAAGATTTTGACCTATTTCCAATGAGGAACTGTCTGTTTGGATTTAAAGCAAAACATGTTGAGTGGCAAGATTCCTTTTAAACAAAATAAATGTAAAGCACCTTTCTCTAAAATTAACAAAGCACTCTGCAATATTATTGTATTTCTTGGGTGTCTGTTTACTTTCAGAAGGTTAATTTATACTGTTACTTTGTATAATATATATTTGCCTGAAATACACCCAGACCTTAGGTGCTAAGATTGTCAGTTTGAGTTTGTGATCACTGCAGTGATCTTGTTAAGTAAGAGGAGAGTAGGAGTCTCACACTGACACATTAGCCTTTTTTTCCCCTGAGCTTTCTGTTCAAGAAACAAGACTCTATACACCACACCAACTATATAAAAGGCTTATATAATTCTTCTTCTGCTTTGTTTCAAAAGACCCGAGGCTTTTTCAAAACCTAATTTTCAGAATAAGAATTATTATAACATGAAAAATATTGAAGATATAAACCCTGATGTTCTGGGGAAGGGGTTTATAGGGAGAAGTGGTCACTAACTTAAAGAAGAAAGATTCTTTATCTCTTAAAAGGCTGTCTAAAAGATGCACAAGAATATAAACAACCACAAAAATAGCACTGGCCCCCTGTCACTGTTTCTGCCCTATCATAAAACAAGACTCAGATAATTATTT